ATACCTCACTGTACCTCACTATACCTCACTGTACCTCAATATACCTCACTATACCTCATTGTACCTGACTATACCTCACTTTACCTCACTATACCTCACTGTACCTCAATATACCTCACTATACCTCATTGTACCTGACTATACCTCATTGTACCACACTATACATCATTTTACCTCACTATACCTCACTGTACATCATTGTACCTCACTATAACTGTACCTTACTATACCTCAATGTACCTCACTATACATCATTGTACCTCACTATACCTCACTATACACCATTGTGCCTCACTATTCCTCACTGTACCGCAATATACCTCACTGTACACCACTATATCTCACTGTACCTCACTATACATTACTGTACCTCACTATACATCATTGTACCTCACTATACATCATTGTACCTCACTATACCTCATTGTACCACACTATACATCATTGTACCTCACTATACCTCACTATACACCATTGTGCCTCACTATACCTCACTGTACCTCAATGTACCTTACTGTGCCTCACTATACCTCACTATACCTTACTATACCTCACTGTACCTCACTGTACCTCACTATTCCTCACTGTACCACAATATACCTCACTGTACCTCTCTGTACTTCACTGTCCCTCACTATACCTCACTGTACCTCTCTGTACACCACTATATCTCACTGTACCTCACTATACCTCACTGTACCTCACTATACCTCACTGTACCTCAATGTACCTTACTGTGCCTCACTATACCTTACTATACCACACTGTTGTTACTAGTTTTTGTTGCAAAAACCTGCACCTCACTTTACATCAGTGTATTTCACTGTACTTCCTTGTACCTCAATGTACTTTAGTGTAACTCGCTGTACTTTGCAGTACATCACTGCTGTTATAAAACCATAAAGTTTGGGTATATTTTCATGTACAGAACCCTGTAATGTAAATTTGACAGAAGTGTAAAATTGCTTGTGAAACCCATATCTTTAGAGATTGTAATTGTTTTCAGATAACAGCAATCCACTTTGGTCTTGGCTGAGTTCCAACCAGCCTTTAGCTTGTCAGTCCTTTCAGATTGTAGTATAAATTCTTCACAACCTTTGCACAGAACTCTACTTCCAAATGTCTGAAATTCATTGCTCTGTACTCTGAATGTAAATATCATTAGCTTACAGCTACATCTGTAGCGACTGCTTTTGTTGTAAAAACAATAATCATTCAGTGTTTTTGAACATCAGTGTCTTTTCAGACCCTATAATCTAAAATGATATTAGTCGAACCAAAGTTAGCAGCTCAGTGTAGATGTTACATTTTGTGTAGTTGCCTCAACAACTTAAAGCATTTCTGTGATGTGAGTTCACACTTGTTTCAGGGCACGTAACAGTAGAAACACAACCATTTTCAAGTGAGGACAATTTACTGGGTCTTTGAGGTGAGTGAATGGTAATGCCTCTATTTATGCCAGAGCGGTTGCACGAGTGTGAATAAGCCATGAAAGTGAGTGACACACAGCTCCATTTTCACTGGCAGCTCCTTAACTGCCTGATTGCCACTGTGAAGCTCAGGATTTCCTTACGCTGACTTTCCTGCACAGCAAAGGCAAAAGACTGATTCCTTCCCTGCTGAAACAGCAAATCCTCCAGACAGACAGGGAGTTCTCTCTCACACACACATACTGTGTACACACACACACACACACACACACACACACACACACACACATTCTCTCTCTCTTTCCCACATGCATACTGTGTTGGTAGAAAGAGAGAAATTTAGATAGATATCCACAGAACTAAAAAATAAAAGAGTAATTAGCAAAATAAGCCCAATAAGATTACAGGCCATAATAACTTATTCACAAGCCTACATGTGTATAATTTATCTCTAATTGCGTAAAATATCYTGTAGACAGATTTTGTTGCAGAAACCAAAAACTTAATTCTCAGGCACCGTTAGCAAAACCTCTTTTTCTCTCCACAGAAAGTCAAACTATTTACATAAAATAGTGCTCTGACTATTCAAAGCCTAACAATATTTTCAGATACAAGAAGCAAATCTGAAAAGGCTGAAGAGTCACGACATTGTACATTAATGGAAATCACAGAGTTCCAGTAGCTCCTAGCCAGAAAAAATAAAACTAAAAAAAAAAACAACCATAAAATACACTACAATTAGAACTACAGTAATGAAGTTATATGAAAATTAAGTTTCTCCAGGGACATGTCTACAACATGGTGTGTGTTATAGGCAGGAATTTGTGTCTCTGGTTTTCTGGATTCAGCACTGACAACAGTTAACACCTGTGTCACCACAGGACAATTTCATGGCTTGGAAGAGCATTTCTCTCATATTGGGCTGTCAGTCATAGACATTGCACTACAATGAAAGAAACAAAATCCTCTGCTGTGTTAAGCAAAAGGAAAAAAAAAAGTAGAACACAGACATGTAGTTGCTGTTCGGTTTCACAGTTGAAAGTGATGTTCCAAACCAAAATACACAGGATGCCTGTCCACAATCTTGCTACACATTTAAATAAAAATAATAAATAAATAAATAAATCATAGAAATATAAGATGGTGCTGGCTTTAAAATGTTATAAGACTTAAAGTTTTGGATGTTTTGAGCCTCTCCTCCSCTTTAATTAATTTAAACTAAGCGTTAGCCACACAAATATAAATATAGAATCCTTTTGAAATATGTGTTGCAGAGAAGTGCTTTAAAAAAAACATGCTGTCATGTAAATACTCCAATTGTAACACCCTGTCTTATTTGTAGAACACAGTGATGAAAGAATCAAAAGATAAAAACAATTATATTTGACTTGATGTCATGATCAAAACTATTTATTCACAGATGCACTATTTTGACTGCATTTAAAACCATTTTTTTCTGATCTTGGATTATCTTATTCTTTTAGTTTCTAGCTTCACTAACATGTACTTCCTGAATAAGTTCAAAATGGATTTTTTTAGTGCATCATTGAGTATATTCTACAACTTCTGTGCTCTAAATGAATTTTACTTCTCCTTTGGTCACCATGACGCATTACAAGCCCATCAAAGAGCAAATTGTGTAAGAATGTATTTGCAGAAAACAAGATGATATCTGCGATTTGTGTGTCACTCAGTGAAAATTGCACATGATTTTTCCACAAAAAGGTGTTTAGTTTGAACAGTGAATTTAGGACAGCTGCTTTAAAGAAATGGGGTTTAGTCATGTAGCAGTACAGAAGTGTTTTGAAATTGGACTGGAACTGCAGTGGGTGACGGCAAAGTTGAAAATCAAATGCTTTTTTTTTGATAATATTTGTTCAGATGGGGCACAGATTGAGTATGAGATAGCAGCTTTCACTACTAAAAAACTACAAATCCAAGATGAAACAAACTAAAAGACAGAAAACTATACAGCAAACTCAACTGAGGATGTAGCCAACTGATGGTATGAAGGAAAACACTACTCTGAAGGTAAAAAACTAACTACTACTATATCGTGTGACCCTAAACTACATGTTTTATTAAAAAAAGTAAAGATAATTTACATATTCCATGTTAAAACCTTTGCTTTTWTACAGTTAATATAAAGGTTGAAAGGCTTCATCACATAGATTTGTAAAAACCACCAGATATGGGATTTCATTTTTAAAATTAATCATGGTAAATAAGATATTATAGAAAAATGCTTCAGTAAAATCAAATTTCTCTTACTTCAAACACAACCATTAG